ACATGTGCTGTATTGACTCAAGGTTTAATGGATTTAGGGCTGTGCAGGATGTGCTTTGTTAAAAATGTGTTTGCAGGCAGTATGCTCGGTAAAAGTCATCGCCATTCTCCAGTGTTGAGTACTCAGGGACACAGTGCACTGCAGAAGGCCGCAGGGACCTCTGCCCAAAAAAGCCTGTGTATTGTCCAAGGTTTCCCCCCCCCCGAGACAGCCTGACATATGGCCTTGTGGGAAGGGCAAGACCTGACCGTTCCCCAGCCCAACACCCGTAAAGGGTCTGTGCTGAGGAGGATTAGTAAAAGAGGAAGGCCTCTTTACAGTTAAAATAAGAGAAAGGCATCTGTCTCCTGCTCGTCCCTGGGAATGGGATGTCTCAGTGTAAAATCCTATCATACATTCTATTTACTAAGATAGGAGAAAACCACCTTATGACTAAAGGTGAAACATACTGGCAGCAATACTACTCTTTACTACACTAAGATGTTTGTGTAAAGTCAAACATAAATTTGGGCTCCGTACACAACAAGACACAACACCTTTCCTTAAACTTATTTATAACACAGAGTCCTTAACTCACATGTTTTCCTACTGACCCTCTCCCCACCATTACCCTATAGTCCGGCCACATCCCCCTCACAAAGATGGTAAAAATAGTAAGCAATAAATACTAAGAAAACTCAAGAGACCTGTGCCGGTGCAGGTCCTCTGTATACTGAACACCGGTGCCCTGGGTCCACTTTTCTTCCTCTATACTTTGTCTCTGTATTGTATTTCTTTTCTCAGTCTCCACAGGTGTGGAGGGGCAGGCTCCCTTCAGGCAGGTGGATCACTTGAGGCCAGAGTTCGAGACCAGCCTGGCCATCATGGTGAAACCTCGGCTCTACTAAAAATACAAAATGTAGCCAGGCAAGGTGGCACATGCTGGTAATCCCAGCTACTTGGGAGGCTGTGGCACAAGAATCACTTGAGCCCGGAAGGTGGAGGTTGCAGCTGAGCCAAGATCGTGCCACTACACTCCAGCCTGGGCGACAAGAGCAAGACTCTATCAAAAAAAAAAAAAAAAAAAAAAAAAAAATCAATAAATGGTACTGGGGATGGGGACAGAAGGTTAAACTACCCCTCAAAACATACACAAAAACCATTTAGAATCAACTGTCAATTTCAACGGTAGAAACATATCAATAAAGTTTTAAAGAAGATTAATTTAGGAGAATCTCTCAATGTTATTAAGGTATGGCCAGATATTTTAAACAGGTCACATAAAGCACCCTATAAAGCAAACTCTATTCTGCTAGGGGAACAACCACTTTAGAAAACAGTTTGACACTTATTTTGACTGAGGTTATACACACCCTATGAAGCAGCAATTTTATTCTGAGGCGTGCATCTAGGTATATACCTCTGCCTCCCCCAGATGAGAGCACATATGAACCAAAGGACATTTACACAAATTTTCATAGATGCATTATTCATAATAATACAAGCTTTAGGCAATACAAATGTAATTAATAATAGAAAAAAACCTGCTATATTTTACATAATGGAATGTGATAGAAAACCTATTATACTTTTGGCCCAGCCTGTAAGAAGGCTTTTTATATTTTTAAAGGACTGTAAAACAAAAAGCAAATTAGCATATGCAAGAGACCATATGTAGCCTGCAAGCCCTAAAATATTTACTGTAAATTTGCCTGATTGCCATCACTGAGCAAAGAAAATATACTCAGATGCAACAGGAAAAACCCTCACCAATAATGAGCAAAAGAAGGCTGACACACAAAAAAAATGATGTACAATTCCATTGATACATAGAGTTTAAAACAGGCAAAACTGTATTAACTACAGTGATAAATAATGATTAATTATATACAGAAAAGCCTACAATACTTTTCAGTGTGAGAATGGAAAAAGGCTCACAGAACACCACCGGTGTGCTAACCATATTCTATTTCTTGACCTGGGCAATCATTGCTTCTACATATATTGCCTCCATGATAATTAAATTGTACATTTAAAATATATAAATCTAGAAAAATTAACAAAGTAAAGGAAGAGATCAACGATACCAAACACTTTACTCCAGGAAGGGTGTTAACTCCAGACAATATAACGGGTGAATGTCCACTAACACTCTATTTTCCTACTTTGTAATGGAAAGTTGAGCCAATGCATTAAGATAAGAATGAATTACAAGCATTACAAAGTAAGACAGAAAATTAAGGTTATTTTCAGGTGATATCATCACCAACATGGAAAACGAGATTCAAGAAATTACATATTTAAAAAAGAAAATGCTCCCTCAGAAACTCCCAGGCAGATTTCCGCATATATAGTTGGCTAGAATTGCACCATATGCCTAAGCTCATGTCCATATCAAA